AGGCGGAGAAGGTCAAGGTAAGGGAGGGGGGAGAGAGAGAGGGGGGATATAGATAGGTAGATAGATAGAGAGAGAGAGAGGAGGATGAGAGAGAAGGAAGGATGGGGGAGAAGGAAGGATGAGAGAGAAGGAAGGATGAGAGAGAAGGAAGGATGAGAGAGAAGGAGGATGAGAGAGAGAGAGAGAGAGAGAGAGAGAGAGAGAGAGAGAGAGAGAGAAAAGGGGGGGTCGAGGGAGAGACTGAGAATTCAAGGAGGATTGTTTGCAGGTAATACGGCCGCCGTATCACGTGGAGCGACTTGTGTTGGTGGAGCTTAAGGACTGCACATCCATTGGCCTCGTTTCAGTCAATGAATGGAATGTTGCTGTTGCCGCCTTCACTTTGCAATGTCCAGACCAACGTACTCACAGGTGAGTTGGAATGTTTTGCGCGGTATTTGGTCATCCGCCCATTGTGGAATATTCTGCCTTAAATAAGAAATGGAATATCTTGTTGTTGACCTAAAATCTGACCGCCATGCCCTTTGCAGGACCTGGTACGATGCCCTGAAGCGAGCCAAGGAGCAGTACAAGGAGGCCCAGCAGGCGCGGGATGTCCTGGTGTACGATGACATGAGCTCGGTGGGTCACTTGGTGCCTCGCTCGCCGCGGCCGGGCTCCTCCAGGGCGTCTCGCGTGTCCAGCCTCGCGCACTCCCACTCGGGATCCATAGACCTGAACGACCCTTCCCCGGGATCAACTCACCATCCTCCCAGTGTGGACTTGAGTGAGGTGAGAGCATCCAGTGCCTCCAGTGACGATTCTGTTGCTCCTGCTGTGCCGGAGATACAGAGATCACGCTCACTAGAGGGTGGTGGTTGTGGTGCTATATCCCCTCGTCCTGACCGCCGCCCGGCTTTCCCTAAGACCCCTAATACACTCAGTGTGACGCCTCCCTACTCGACTGGACAGTCACTCCCGAACCTAACTGTAGAGTCGGCCAACTCCCTGCGGGTGCCGGGAAGCAATGCCACAAATCCCAAGGCGTTATCCCCATGCAATCGTGGAGTGTCGTACCCACCCCCATCACCTCGCACTCTCCGCCGCTCAGCCCCTGTTCCGCAGTCTCGCAACCCACCACTGATTAAGAGCCGTCATGTGACTTCCATGGTTGGAAATCCACAGGAGGCGGAGCAAGGGGACCAGGAGGACCCTGCCAGAGGAGGACCGAGACGTATTTCTCGCACAGACAGGATGGACAACAGGCGGTACCACACTGCCGGGGCCATTGATGATATCAAGGTACATGCATTATCCCGATGAGGACATTCAAGTGCATCCCCCTAATGTATGGTGGCATGAGTTCTTTGAAATCCATATAACATGTTCGCGGTTTCTGACTTGTATTTTGGATTTTGAGGATCTTGGGAATGATCACCAAACGCCTTCTAGACTGAGACCAAGTAGTGTAGAAGCACAGCTTACGTCTTCAACCATGTCTCTGTATTCTTCGCAGTTCTTTATTCTAAACCTCTTGGCGGATTTTGAGTATCTGCTTTGATTCTATCATATGATAATTACACACATATTAGAGCAAGTAGTGTCAAGGCACAACTGTTTACATATTTCTTTGCCATATAGTTTACGTACCAAGACACAAAGGTATAAATTAGCAATGCATGTTTAACTGATTAACTTTATAGAAGCCGATTTCATTTCTTTCTTTTCTCTTTTCTCATTCTTTTTTATAGTGTTAAGCTTACATAACGAAACTTGGGGTTGATATTCCATTACTGAACACTCTTTCTCCCATCTTCTATCCTCCCACCCACCCTCCCTCCCTTCCTTCACCTACCTTCCTTCCCGCTCCCTCCCCTTTCACCTCCCTTCCCTCACTTTCATCATCCTCTCCTCTCATATCTCCCACCACTCCTCCTCTTCTCTTTCCTCCCCTCCCACCTCTCTCTCTCTCCCTTTCTTTCTCTGTCTCTCTCTCTCTCTCTCTCTCTCTCTCTCTCTCTCTCTCTCTCTCTCTCTCTCTCTCTCTCTCTCTCTCTCTCCTCTCCTCTCTTTCTCCTCCCCCCCCCCCCCCCCACACACTTCCTCACCTTCCTCCCTCCCTCTCCTCCCTTCTCATCCTCATCCTCTCAGATATCCTGGTGATCATCCTCTAGGTCGTCTTCCTCCACCTTCACCTTCACCTCCCCCCTCTCCCACTCTCAGTATCACTCCTACTCCCTCCCCCTCCCTCCCCCTCCCCCTCCCCCTCCCCCTCCCCCTCCCCTCTCCCTCCCTGCCTCTCTCCTTCCCCCTCCCCCCAATCCTCTTTTCTCTCGCCTTACCCTTAAATAACCACAGTCATCTCTCCACAGAAACAAGACAGCAAAGACACCAGCATCCACAAACGCCTCTCGTGGAACTACGGTCAGGGCCCACCGCCGACGTCGCGTGACCTCGGCCGCGACCAGGGCAAGCTGGGTCGTCAGAAGCACGCCGTCAAAAGCATCTCGTGCGAGTCTATGCACAGCTCCTCAGGGGTGTCGTCGACCTCCTCCTTGCACCGGTCAATGGGCTCCGAACTTGAGGCCCTGGAAAACATTGATGACAACGAGCTAGAAGGTTTGTTTTGGTTTGTGTACTTGAGCGGGAGTGGTGTGGTGTTGTCTCTCATTTTGTTGTTTTCTTTTCCTCCCTTTAATATCATCTCTCTCTCTCTCTCTCTCTCTCTCTCTCTCTCTCTCTCCTCTCCTCTCTTTCTCCTCCCCCCCCCCCCACACACACTTCCTCACCTTCCTCCCTCCCTCTCCTCCCTTCTCATCCTCATCCTCTCAGATATCCTGGTGATCATCCTCTAGGTCGTCTTCCTCCACCTTCACCTTCACCTCCCCCCTCTCCCACTCTCAGTCTCACTCCTACTCCCTCCCCCTCCCCTTCCCCCTCCCCTCCCCCCTCCCCTCTCCCTCCCTGCCTCTCTCCTTCCCCCTCCCCCCCAATCCTCTTTTCTCTCGCCTTACCCTTAAATAACCACAGTCATCTCTCCACAGAAACAAGACAGCAAAGACACCAGCATCCACAAACGCCTCTCGTGGAACTACGGTCAGGGCCCACCGCCGACGTCGCGTGACCTTGGCCGCGACCAGGGCAAGCTGGGTCGTCAGAAGCACGCCGTCAAAAGCATCTCGTGCGAGTCTATGCACAGCTCCTCAGGAGTGTCGTCGACCTCCTCCTTGCACCGGTCAATGGGCTCCGAACTTGAGGCCCTGGAAAACATTGATGACAACGAGCTAGAAGGTTTGTTTTGGTTTGTGTACTTGAGCGGGAGTGGTGTGGTGTTGTCTCTCATTTTGTTGTTTTCTTTTCCTCCCTTTAATATCATACTATATGTCTGTAAGATGACTGTGACTGATATTTCATCACTTTACCTCACCCTATTCTCTCTCTCTCTCTCTCTCTCTCTCTCTCTCTCTCTCTCTCTCTCTCTCTCTATTTTCCTCTCTCTCTTTTCCCATCATCATCCCTCTTTTCTTTCCTGTCCCCTACCTCTCCCCCTCTCCTCCTCCCCGTATTTCTCTTTTTCCTTTTCTCTGCCAGCCCCCAAACTTCTTCCTCTCTTCTGTCCCTTTTTACTCTCCCCCTCAACTCCCTCTCTCCCTCTATCCCATCACAGAAATATTGATTAATAATCTTTATTTATCCACCAGATGGAGAGGGCACTGTTGTTGATCTAACAGTAAGTGACTGCACAAGCCTGAAGATTTCTCCACATATATCTACAACGTACATCTGCCATGACACAGACATTACTCTTGGTGTCTGCTCACAGTACATCACTCAGCCAAATAATGCAACTGAGGTAAACAGGATCTAAGTTTTGAAGGGATTTGTTAATGGAATCTTAAATGTTGATCAAGATAAAAGTTTCCGTACAATTTCCTGTGCCCTAGTTATAAATCAATGAGGATATTGACCCATATACCTTTCATATGTTGCAACCAACTGTCTCTTCAACAGCCAACTGAAGGTTGTGAAAACCTTGTGAAAATTGACGTGTCTGAGACCGACCCTGGAATCTCCTCTGTCCAGATCACAGTGACAGAGGGTGCTTCTTCTTCCTCTTCCAACTTGTCCTCCACAACCCCTTCTTCAGATGGTGCTCCAGGCAAGACAGACGGCTTGAGGATGAGAGAAATTCTCTTGAACGACGCTTCGGTTGAAGCCTCGTAAGTATCCACTGCATCATGTTACAGTCAAATATGTTGAAAATAAACAATACTCAATTAAGCATATATAATGCATTAGCAGTTGCTTATCACTGACTGATTTTTTTCTTTGCAGGGATGTATGAGGCTGGTCAAATGCATCCCTACATGGGACACATGACACTTCATCCAGCTGTTACTGCCTCAGCTCCCTAGTGTTGCCTTACATTATGGGTAGTCGTTCAGAGGTCAGGAAGAAGAGGATTGAAAGATAATCTAACAGACATGCCTTCTGCAAGAAGTGAAAGCTTAGAAGAAAACTAATTTGGTATTCTCAGAATACTAAGGATTGTGACACTTTTGTAAGTGTATAAAGAGAAACTATGTCATGAGACACAGAAGTTGACTCTTCTGAATGTGGACAGCAGTGTTTGTGCTTTGGTTTAAGGGATGAAATGAAGTCAGGACCTAAGAAACATTGTGCATTAAGTCCCATTATCTCAGTGTCACAGAACTAGTGTCACCCTCTTTAATGGACTTATTTGTGCCCTGAAATCAGCCTTCCAAAGTTGTTACAGCCAACCTGTGTGGCTGACTTTGATAAACCCAGTGACTTGTGTGACCCTGGTATTTTTTGTACATTCCATCATTGTGCAGGATGTATTTATTCTCAATCCATTCCCTGGATATTGGTACCTCTTTTATGTCCATGGTTCTGTGGATTTCATAAGATATGATTTGGTACCAGTGGAATGGATAGTTATATATAAATATATATACAGTATATATACATATATATCAACATTATACCTTTTTGTGAAT